GCCTCGCACCGAGGACCTATCCACGTCATCATTTACCCAGAATGCTTTGTGTGTAAATAAAATGGCTCCATCCGTGTTAAAATATATTTTTTATAAATTTATGAAACTAAAACATCCTACAGTATTTTTACAGTCGTTATTTAACAGTTAAAATAAATGTTTATCAAATAAAGTCTAATGTTACAACTAATCATGGATCCCTTTAAAGCCACGCATGGCAAATTTAAATAAATGCATTAAATAAGAAACAATATGGCCCTGAACTTTATTGGCTGATGCTCCTTTAAATGTGACCAATCACAGCTCATTTTCAGATTCCTGCTTTTTAAACTACATTTGATCCCTGATCATCCTGAGATCACGATCAGCTCAGCAGAACTCACTGATATTTAGTCTAAATCCTATTTGAAGTTATTCTAATAAGGAATTTTTATTTTATTTTAAAGAAGAAAACCTCAATATTTAGATATTAAGATTTCCCAGCTGGAAAGATAAAAATCTTTGCTAGCTCGCAGAAAAACTGAGAAAATTTTACAGCTTTTCCACTCAAATCATGTTTTGAAAAACTGCTGAAAACGAGCTTCAAAAAAAGATTTACCTGAATCTTAAACGATGCAGCTGAAATATTTACTCATTAAAAAGACAAAAACAGAACTCTTATTAAACTTGCTCATTTTAACTTATTTAATCGAGTTAAATTTCTTAATTACTTGTTTTTTTGACATGTTTGTAACTTTTTGTTTTCTCTCTTGTAAATGAGAACTTGGATCTCAATGAGACAACCTGTATAAATAAAAATAAAAATAATTAGATTTGAGCAAAATAAAATTGTTGCAGACGTTTTAGCGTTTAGTTCAGTGTGAAGTATTCAGAACTGTTGTTTATTTCCCATTTTATAAAAGCGTCTCCAGATTTAGAGCGTCTGTGTCTGGCTGCACGGCGGCACCACGAAGCTGTCGGGGTCATGGGAACAGAGAGAGTACCTGATGGGGTGGTCTCCGCAGGTCTTGGGCCTCTCCATCACCGACACCCACTTGTCGTCGTAGCTGAAGAGCGAGAGGTCGAGGTAGGGGCTGCTGCTGTACGACTGGGCGCTGATGGGCAGCTGGCCCAGCAGGCGACGCACCGCCTCCGTGTGCCCGCCGTACTTGGCGTTGACGATGGTGTCTTTGAACCTGGAGACAGAGACCAGGTCACTCAGCGGGTTTTACTCTTCCACTGCGACTCGAAACATAAAAACCGGATCTGTCCGGACTTTATCTGCAGCTTCATCTTTTATTTGAACTCACTCCAGAGTTCAAAAACAGTCTCAGCTCAGATTTACATTTCATGATTTTCAGTCTGTCAAGTTGACATGAATGTTTTCAGGTCAGGTTTTTATTATGGTTTTATTATCTGCACTCTCCAAAAAACCACAAAAACAATCAGAATTTATTCTTCTGATTGTTCCCGTTAGGTTTCTGGTTTCATTCAATTATTTTTAAAGTCGAATTACAACGTCACTAAATCAAATTATCAAAATAAAACATCCATTAATAAATGTTCTGCATTTAAAAACAGCTCATTTTGAAACAAACCTGTTTCTAATGTTTCAGGAGTGTGTGCACGTATCACTACTATAAAAACAAAAATAAAAAAGCACAATAAATCAGTTCTTTTTTTATATATAAAACCTGCAAAATTAACTAAAATAAATTCTCATTTTCAGGATGGAACTCTGACTTTATTGGTTATTAAAGTGAATTAAATCAATTTAATTAATGTACCTGAATAGTTTTTATATTAAACCTTTGTTCATTAGTTTCTTTAATAATCAACATAACTGAACAGTTTCTTTATTTTAAAGTGACGGGGTAAAGTTTATAAAACGTAACAAAAACCTCAAATTATTCAAAGTGATAGAAATATATTTAAACATAATTAAAGATGTTATGAGCAAAAGAAACATTTTATTTTTCTTATAGACTCTATTTTAGCTTCAAATGTTTTTTCTGTATATTTTTCATGTTTAATCAGTTTCAGCTGTAATTATGTTGAAATGTTAGAAATAAGAAACAAGTATAATTCAGATTATTGAAGTCTTTCCTGTAATTTTCCATTCTGCGTCTCTTTCTGTATTTTATTTAGCTTCATGCTTTGTTTTTATCCGGACTTGCTCTCCTCCTGATCCAGGATCAGTCAGGTCTCTTTGTGGCGTCACGTCTTCCTGCCGTCCTGCACCTCCTGACCTGCTGCTGCAGGTCTGACTCACACAAACCGTTTTCACTCTCTCCTCTCTCTGGAATCAATTTGCACCAATCTCAAATCCAATTCAGAGCTGCCTCCCTGCCTCAAACTGTCCCCTTGTCTCCTCCACTAACTGCTTCGTGGTTGTTGTCACCCTCAGCGGCGAGTTGAAACGGACAAATTCAATCAGCTGCTCTATCCGCCCTAATGTCCCGTCAGCGTCGACGTCCGGACCTGAAGCTCCCGACACATTTAAAGCCTCTCCAACACCTGTCTGCACGGCGCCACGCTGACCTTTCGTTCAGTTCGTCAGAGTCACTGGTGTCGGTACCTTCGCTGCACCTGCCGGGCGTAGTTGTTGGAGGAGGCGGAGCAGGGGAACTGCACCGCCTGGCTGTGCAGCGTGGCGTTCCTGAACAGGTCGCAGAAGTTCTCAAAGAGCTCCAGCAGCTGGTCCGAGGTGTTCTCGAAGACGGCCAGCACCTCGGTGGACACCATGTTGTAGACCACGAAGAAGGACGGCTGAGACGAGCAGAAGGGTCACAAGATTAGAGCAAGAACAATATGAGCAGGAACTGAATTCAAATTCATCAGATTGAATCTGAACGTGCATAATTTGAAATTAAATGAATTGGTTTGAAAATGAATTTTACTAAATTGAAACTGAATTTAAAGTTTTGCATCTGAATTAATTTTCTTTGAAACTGTATTTTGGTATATTAAAAATTCAGTTTGACTACTTTCACTTTCAGTTCCATAATTCAGATTTTTGTGTCACATCCTGGTCCTTGAGAAAGCCAGGCAGAGTAATCAAACACAGATCCTCAGATTTCTGTTTCACTTTGGTGAAGTTTCCCTTCTGTATGTAACAGAGTTGATGCAATCCAATCTGTTGAAAGGTGTTTGATTACTCTGCCTGGCTTTCTCAAGGACCAGGATGTGACACAAAAATCTGAATTATGGAACTGAAAGTGAAAGTAGTCAAACTGAATTTTTAATAAACCAAAATACAGTTTCAAAGAAAATTAATTCAAATTCAAAACTTTAAATTCAGTTTCAATTTAATGAAATTTATTTTCAAACCAATGCATTTGAAATTCTGCACATTCAGATTCAATCTGAGCAAATCAAATTCAATCCCTACTGGCACAAAATTTATCCCACAGAACAAGAGCAAATAAAGTTCAGGAACAACAATCTTTAATCCTTCTGAGGGTTTAATGTTGACATTTGTCTGTAGTAAGGAAGCGATGTAGCCTCTGAAGAACCGTGCATTAATTAGATCTGTCCTTTGTTGTCATAAATAAATTCAGGACTGAACAGAATCTGAGGGACAAAAGTGTCCTCGGAGACCTGAAGGAGGAATTCATGTTGAACAGACAGAACCACAAAAGACAGACGGAGGAAACCAGGAGAGCAGAACAAAAGAGCCCAGAGGGGGGAATTCACATCGACAGATCTGTGTGTGTGTGTGTGTGTGTGTGTGTGTGTTACCTGCGATGGGTCGGTGACTCGGAGCGTGACCACGTCCTCGCTCGTGTATTTAATAAAGAGGTGATGCTCGTCCAGCAGCTGCATCTTCCACATCCTCAGCCTCCTGAGCTGATCGAAAAACTGGAAAAACCTGTCGAACGAGACGAAGACCCGAAAGCCCCGCCAAAATAAAGCACTGCCAGTGTCTTTAGAGAGAGACTTCATTTACTCCTGAATGAAAACAAACACAAATCGTGACCTGAAACCTGACGTTTTCTTTCATCTGACTCAAAGAAACGAGTCGGGACAGAAGATAAATCTGTGCCGTTTTACACACAAACTACCGTAAACTACGGCAAACAGTCCAAGTGTTTCATTCAGGGAAAAATTATGTTTTAAAAGAAAAAGTGAGAGCAGCTTGATGCTAAATTTATAGATGAAGAAAAGTAAGTAAAAAAATTGAAATCACCCTGAAAAAGAAGATTCGTAAAAATGAAACTTTTTGGAAAATAAGATTTGTTTTTTTCTGTCTGAGACTTTTTGTTTGTTTGTTGTTTCATTGTTGATCACACCTGATCTGCTCAGATTGTCCTTTATTCTATTAATAAAACTCACAGCTTGTATTTGCACCTCATTGTGTTTCATTCTAACAGCACACACATGAAGCCACAATAAACAATGTTTTAAAAAAGTGATTCAGCAGAAAATTTATTCTTTTTCTTTTCAAAAACCTGAATTAAAAGTTCAAACAGCGTCGAACCTCAGAAGACTTCGACAGACGGAGTAAAAAAACATTTTGCAGCTGCATTTTTTAGGAACAAAAGGAAAAATGGACAAACTGTTTCAAATTAGAGGCTTTAAATGTCGAGTCTCCAGTTTCCACTGAAAGCAGGATTATTTAATATATAATGTATAATATATAATCTAGAAAACGTGGCTTCCAACCTGAAATAAAAAACAGGAGTGCTTTCTCGTGTGAAATCGTGTCTGGAGAAATGAGCTCGACGTGAGCAGAACGCAGCACTTCCTGTGGCCGCACCGTCACTGTGCCAAAGCTTTGAGATAAAACACAAACCTTCAATCTGCTCCGGTTTTGGTGGAATTAAATTTTTCCTAAAATAATCACCCGAGTCACCTTTTTTTCGAAGTTTGTCAAGAATATCAAAAAAAAATCGTTAGTTACATTTTTGTTGAAGATTTTTGTGTTTCCTGAAAATCTTAAATCAACTTCAGCAGTTTTTTTTTTTAAGGAAGGTGTCGATTTCACGTCTGTTATTTTGTTTTCAACCTTTAGGGTTTGTGCAAATGAAAGTTTCGGGGTTAAACTTTTAAGAACATTTAAATTAGATTAAATTAATTCTGGTTTGACACAAGCTTTAGTGGCAGCGCTGCAAACTTTACAAACTGTACTAAAGTGTTTTTACGTAGATTTGTTTTGCAGCTTGGAGGGAAATACAGAGTATTTGTTGGTGTTTTATGCTTTAATATTATAAGTTTTATTGTCTCTGTCATGATCAATAATTTATCCTCCACCTCTTTAGGGTGGGGTGCCACAAGGCTCCATCCTTGGTCCCCGTCTCTTTTCCCTTTGAACCACTGTAACACAGATGACTTACAGATCTGCTTCTCTTAACAAAGGCATGAAGAAAAGGGGCAGACATGATAAGATTTATTCTTCTTCTGCTACCCTTCATTTCATTTTATTTTGATTTGTGTATTTTCTTTGTTTTCTATTGTATGTAGTTATTTTTTAATGAAATGATACATTTTTTAAATTGAATTGAACTGACTAGCACAGTTGTCCCTCTTTTGGACTGCATAACGCATGTTACACAAAGCTGAGTAAAGACTTCTTGTTTTTAAATCATAAAAAGACTGAATTTATTTTAATTGGTGACTTTGCCTCTACAGATGTCAGAGCCCTGCCTTTTAAACTACACACAGCTGTCAGAAAGCCAGAGGTAATATTTGATCAGGAGCCTAAAGTTAAACAGTTTGAGTCTGTGGTCTAATCTCAAAGCTCAAATTTTTGCTTCTTCTAATTTCTGATAAGCATCGATGAGCTACTTTAAATGACCTCTGACCCCAGCATCTTTAAGTCTAAACTCAAGATTTATTTCTTTAGACGGGGTTTTAATACCGTGCAGCTGGTGGCATTTTCCCTCATGTTTTTATGTTTTTCTTTTCTTGTGATGTGAGTTTTACTCTAAAGTACTTTGGTCACCTGGTGGTTATATAAATGAATGAATGAATGGTCTGAACTCGTCAGAAAACAGATAAATAGTGTCTCCAGGACGCTTTGGTTCGTCTTTGTGATAAATTTAAATAAATCGTTGTTGCTTTTATTAAACTTTTAAAACCAGCAGACACAGAAAATATTTAAACAAAGAACAAAAGTGACGCGCGGTGAGAACTCACCTCCTCTTGGCCGTGGCGCTGCCGTCCTGCTCCACCCTCCTCCACAGGTAGACCAGCAGCCGGTGCTTCAGGGAGTTGATGATCTTGTCGGTGTAGAGGCGAGGGAAGCCGGGCTGGCTCTCCGCCTGCGTCTCCGTGTAAACGGCCGACAGAGTCAGGAGGTCGTCCTCGTAGCAGAAGCGACCGATCGTCCTCACGTCCAGAAACGTCCCGTCTGGAGTCACCTGAGAGAGACAGAACAGAGGAGTCCACCTGCGTGAGCTTAACCCACACGAGCCAGGCTGTTTGAACAGGTAAAGATGACTTGATCCAACATTTCAACCTGGAAGACATGGATGGTCTGCTGCTGCACCGACAGCACAGCCAGGATGTTCCTGTACAGGTAGAGGCCCTGGTTGTGTGACAGAATGATCTTGTCACATTTAAAGGAGCGGGTGTCCACCAGCCTGCCCGTGTAGAGGTCGATGATGTGCAGAGAGTAGTCCTCTAGAGGAGAACGAGGGTTCGGGGTCACAGATTCGTTGTTGCGATACACCTGGGGGGAGATTTTTAAAAAATGAGAAGAAAGAAGAGCCGAGCTGCAGCAGAGAAGTCCCGGTCTTTACCTCAAAGAAGTACGGCGGCGGCTCCTCGGGGACGTAAACGGCCGAGCCCACGATGACGTAGCGGCAGTCGTCCGTGAAGAGGCTGCACTCTCGGTTCAGGTGCTCTCCGTTTGAAGCCACGTTGGTGACGCTGAGCAGAGAGAAAAAACGCTGGAACAGGCGGCCTCGGATGTTGAGGGAGCGCTGGTCGTTAGCGGTGGACAGGGTCTCTCCTTCCTGGCCCCTCAGCAGGTCCTGGGCCGCCTGGCAGCCTTGGTACTCATAGATCTGGAGAGGGAAGAGTTTCTCATCATCTTGTTTCGTCTCAGGTGAATAAAGTGAAATCAGCCGGAGACTAAGGTTATAATAGTTTTGGATAGGGCTGTGTGGTACATGCAGCAGACGGTAGAAACCGTATGAAGTTGGCCTACAGTAGAAATTTACCCTCTACCGTCCTGTCGTCATTACATCATCGCACCTGTGTCAGCAGGGCTGTGAGTGCAGAGACACCTGAGCAGGAGTTAGAAATATAATGAAGAAATTCTAGTGTTTTAAAACACGTATAGAGAGGATAAATCCTCAAAGTTTCCTCCTCCCGCTGTAGAAAAGTTACGTCGTGTCGCAGGATAATTTCCCCCCTCCCCCGCCCCTGCACGTCACGCAGAGCGAAGCTTTAACAGCTGAAGTTTTTCACACCCAACTGTCGGAGAAAAAACTTGTTTTTATGTATTGTTACCCACAGAGATGATTAAAAAAAGACGTGGACGTTCGTTCAGTCATAAATCCATCTTGCTAATATAAAGTCGGCTTCTGCTCTGATGATGAAGATGATGAAGATGATGAAGATGAGTGCGCAGCAGAGAAGCAGCTGATAAGTTCAGCAGGCAGAAGCTCATTGTTTGGCAGGCAGATATTAAAGAAAAAACGTTGGGTTTAATTAAGGTTACAGTTTTCTGCAAAAAAAGGCTCTAAAAATTACATTATCTTTACTTTTTATGATAATTTTCTACCGTGATATATACGGTTACTGTGAAGGGGTTCAGTTTATACCCTGATATGAATTTGAGGTCATACTGCCCAGCCCTAGTTTTGGATTTTTCATTATAGTTTAGTTTTATTTTGTTGTGACTTTTTCTTTAATTCAGTTTTAATTAGTTTTTACAGTTTAGTGTGGATTTGCTATTTTTATTAGTTATTATTGCTTTTTTAATGCTTAATTTAGTTTTTATTAGTTCTAGTATTAGGTTAAAATAATCCCA